AGAACCTGTCTTGAAGGGTGGGGGGAAGAACCAGGCATAATGGTATACATTTTATAATCCCAGCACTGGGATGGCAGAAAGAGATGGATCCCCTAGGCTCACTAGCCAGCCAGCCTAGCCTACTTGGTAAATTCCAGGCCAGTGAGAGACCTTGTCTCAAAAAACACAGTGGACAATATCTGAAGGACAACACACAAGGCTTACTTCTGGGTGCCACACATACTTGCACGCACACACACATCCCAGAATCTTGGCATCTCTAGTATGTCCATTAACCCGACAAACAGGCAGCAGCAGAAATTAGGGTATGGAGGGAACAAAGCCACACTCACGCAAGCCTTTCCTCTGACCTATGGCCCGGCTGGGGGAAGGAGAGGCCTGAGCAGAATGCTGGTCCCTGGACACACTTTTCCCTACCACTCAGATCTGATTTCTCTCCCAGGGATAGTATGCTTGTTATCCTGTGGGAAAAATGAAACATTTGCCAAAGCTCTGTCAGGGTGTAACATCCCACCTTCCCCAGGATCCAACAGGAGCAATAGGTAAGGTGACTTCATACTAGGGAAGCCACTGGTCCACAGCCACATCATCCATTGTCTCCGGTCAGAAGGACGACATCAACACTGGACACTGTCTTGAACAAAGAAATGACCGAGGCTTTCAAATGTCTACTGCCCGTTTGGCTTTGGTGAAATGATGAAATCCGTCTGCCCATGGCCTCAGAGTATTCGCTAGTATCTTTACGAGTTTACGAGACAGCTTCAGACGAGGTGCGTTTGTGTGGAAAAACAGACTCACGGTTCCATCACCTAGGAAGGCAAAGCCTGGAAAGGAGCCAATTGCAAGCATGCTAAATCATGCGGCTGCAGCATGTGTTTTAATCAGAGGACATAGTCTTTCAATGGTGGCTTGGTTAAGTAGGCCAGATTCCTCTCTGAAGAAAAGCTTCCCACCAAAGCAGAATAGCTTGTCCTTTCCCGCTCCCAACTGCCACTAATCCCTTCTCCAACCATAGCACAATGGTCAGCCTGCCCACTGGCCTGGGAAGGGGCCAGGCCGAAGGCTTAACACAAAAGCCCCTTACAAAGATGTCAGGCCCTATCTGCATCAGCTGGGGCACTCGGGTGAAATCACATGCTTCAGGGTGCTCCCCTCTCACATCTGAGTGTAAAAACAGACCAGTCTGTTACATGGACTGTGAAATTTCTAGACAGGCATATAGTGTTACTGTCTGGAACTTTCCATGAACCTCCTCGAGTTACCACACATATTAATAGGAATGCCACATTTAAAGAAAGGAAAACACGTTGTGCCTGGTGATTGCTTTTAATTGAATTCATCTGGGAATTTTTAATTCAAAAAAGTGAGCCCCACTTACGACATATGAAGGTTTGAACGGTTGTGATTTTTGCCCTTTGGGATGGGGAGTCTCTTTGCAGGGCAGTTTCTGTACTGTGAGGCGTTACGTTAGAGACACCTGTAAAAAGAGTTAAGTTGCAGAACTATAGAATGGGACAGGGGACACTGCGCAACTACATCGTCCCTTCAGAGGCAACCTGGCACTCACAGCCCCTGCTCAGAAAAGAAGCTGCACATTCCTGTCAAGACAGCCCTGGAGGACAAGGAGAGATGGCTCAGTGGTTAAGAACACTCTTTGTTCTTGCAGAGGTCTGGGGTGGGTTTCCAAGCATCTACATGGTGGCACATAACTGTAATTCCAGTTCCAAGGGGTTTGACACTCTCTCCCACTGGGTAACACTCATACATGTTGTGTATTTACACACATGCAGGCAAGACTAAATTGAATTAAGATACTGGTTGAGAGCCAGGTATGAGCACACCTTTAATCCAAGCACTTGGGAGGCAGAGGCAGAAGGATCACTTCGAGTTCAATGTCAACCAGGGCTCCATAGTGAAACCTTATCTGAAAGAAAATGAAGAAAGGAAGGAAGGAAGGAAAGAAAGAAGGAAGGAAAGAAGGAAGGAGGGTGGAAAGAAGGAAACAGGGAGGGAGGGAGGAAAGAGGGAGAGAGGGAGGGAGGGAGGGAAGGAGAGACACAGAGAGACAGACAGAGAGAGAGAAAACCCATGGGAGGTCTCAGCAGATAAAGGTGCTTGCCACTAATGCCTAATGACCTGAGTTGAATCCTACAACTTGCATAATCGAAAGAGAGAACTGATTTGCACAAGCTGTTCTCTGACCTCCATGCACACGGGTACACACATTTATACATGCGCACACACACACTAAATGAATAAACAAATGTAAACACGCCACCAGAACCTGGCTTAATGTTTACCATGGTGAGCCAAGGTTGAATGGGTCATTGAAGGAAAAGTCCTGTGGGCAGTGGAAACAGGATGCCACTTTCTTGACACTTGATGTACCACTGTGACACTAGCCAGGTCCTGCAGTCCAGTGAAGTAGACACACTGCCTCTGTCACCTGCTGTCCCTTCAAGGGAGCTTGTGAAGCCTCCAGTCTGTGTTCTAACAGGGGCAGAAAGAAAAGCCAGGCTCTGGCTAGTGGAGCACCCCAACCTCAGATCTTCCTTCTGCCAATCAAAGCGACATTTATTCTCACAGAGAAACTCAGTTCCCCTGCCTCCCAGGTCCTAAGCAAAAACCAAGAGGGAAAGTGTAATAAGCTGCCACCCTCTGGCTTGTCTATGTGGCTCCCCTCGAGTGCCCCGCCTCCTGGAGGCTATCTACCACACAAAGGGGTTCAGATTTTGAGCCACACAAGTGCCTTGTTTATGTCCCCTGTCACCCAATGAACAAATGCCATGTGGGGTTTTCTTTTTTTTTTTAAAATTTATTTATTATGTATACAATATTCTGTCTGTATGTATGCCTGAAGGCCAGAAGAGGGCACCAGACCTCATTACAGATGGTTGTGAGCCACCATGTGGTTGCTAGGAGTTGAACTCAGGACCTTTGGAAGAGCAGACAATGCTCTTCTTAACCTCTGAGCCATCTCTCCAGCCCCCCATGTGGGGTTTTCAACTGAAGACCCAAACTGGGCCACACACAGACGCATAAGACCAGGTACGCCTAAGAAGGCTGGCGCAAGTCACAAGCACCCAGCACAGGTATACAGCAGCCGTCCTCTGGTCTAGGGACACTCAGCATCTCTGAGGTCTTGTGTTTTTTACCCACCCACAGTTCTTATCATCATTATTCCCCTCCACAGTACTCAAATCTGCTATCGGGTCCTCACTAAAGACTAGGGGATCAGTGGTGTGCACCGCTGTATTTTGATTAGGGATGCCCTGTGTAACGTGTGCACATGGGCCTCTTTAGTCTGAACATCATCCTGAGGGCATCCTGGAGTCAAGAAGATCAGTGAGAACTAAGGCCTAAGGCCTTTCTGATTGACAGCACTGTGAATTCTGCTGCCTGCCATGCCCTTTCTCCTCGGATGGCTTTCACCCAGTCTCTGTCTCCTACAAGCCTCAAGCACAGCCCTCACTCAGAAATTCTCTGTGTTCCTTCGAGAAAGGCTGCCCATGGTGTACCATGGCTACCTGATTTGAGCGCGCACCCCCCCTCCCCCCCCCCCCCCCCCCCCCCCCCGCTTTCTACTTTAAAAGCTGGTCCTGGGCCCAGCACATGACGCAGGCAGCAAACCACTTGCCCCGTCAGCGTGAGGACCTGAGCTCCAGGTGATTGGTGTGATGGCCACACTTAGAATCCCAGCACCAGGAAGCCATGGAGGAGTGAGAGGCTTGCCTACCAGCCTATCTAGCCTAACTGGTGAGCTCTAGGCCAGTGGGAGACCCTGGCTCACAGAAGGTGGGCAGTGATCATGAGGATGGCTGACACCCAAGGTGCCCTCTGGCTTCCACACACATATACACAAGTATGTATGAAAAAGAGAGGAGAGCTGGCCTTCCTCCCTTCCAGGATTTGTCAGCCCTACCTTTGTCTCACAGGTCCATCTCCCTGCCCTTCCAGAACCAAGAGAAGGTACGAAGCATGGGCTGATAAGTAGGAAGCTGAGTTGCCCTGGTTCATAGAGTGGCAATAAGCTCATGCTTTTGGCTCTGTAGCCAGGCCCCCTCCAGTTTACGGCAGAACCTGTTCCATATTCCACCAGTCTCCCTTGGAAGGTGGTAGCCACTGTCACACAGCCAACCAGTCCCCCACCCAGCCAGCCTGTGGTAAATGTCTACCAACTCCCCACATTTGAGCACTGTGCCAAAACAAGCAGAAAAGAAACAAAAAGAAAGCCCTGACTGCCAACCAAAACACCACCATCTTCCTGCTAACACACCAATTCAGCGGTGAGATCAAGAGTGGGCACAAATCCTAGACGCCTTTGCCAGGGGTGTGGGAGGCATCTGGGCAAAGAGACGGTCCTGCTGTCCCCACAAGAAAGCGCATTGTCACCAGTGACCTCATCCACGTGCAGGGAATTCTCTGGCCCCGAGGTCTGATCAGCGGCTCCTGTTGGGGTCTCCCTGACTTGAGTGCACATCACATCTCTGCCAACTTCAGGACTTCATAATCCTACAAAATCCAGCACACCTTTGGGCTAAACCACAGGCAAACGCGGCAGCAGTGACAGGGACCAGAGCCTGACACCAGGGATGACAGGCAGCCTTCTTCACCTTTAATCTACTGGGGTGTGGCTGGAGTTGGAGTCCTTAATGGCTGGGCCATCCCACGGGCTCTGGGCATTTCACCAGCTAGGACACAAGGCCCGTCACCAAAGGGTCTTATAAACACCCCACACTTGTTTCCCTTTTAAATCTGAGGCACAAATTATAGCTGGATTCAACGGCCCAGCTATTTAAGCTAACAAGATAGCTTGTTTCTGACCCAGTTATCTGAAGGTGTAGCATTCTTTCAGATGGCATGGCCTTGGCAGAGATGGAGGAATGGGACCCGGCAGTGTCAAGGCTGAAGAGGAGTGGGGAGTCTGCTCCCATCCCCCAGGGCCTGCAGTTGCAGAGATGCATCACTCTGGGACATGAAAGAGAGAGACAGCAACTTACATGGCTCCTCTTGCCTTCTTCATCCCCCACCGATGTAATGACTGTCTCAGAAAAGTCCACCTGTCCGGTCTGGTTGTCGGTTATCTACAGACAAACACAGGTACAGGAAAAGTGAAACAAGGAATTCTGGGAACAACATAAAGCCTTTGTTTGCTTTCACTTTCTGGGGTGGGAGTCAACAGGAAGCCCACTCCCCGCTTCTGAGTTCCAATCACGGTACCGCCAGCGGGCAGAGCTCCTGGAGGTACCCACAATCCTGCGCAGAGGGAGCAAAGTGATTGCAGACAGCACAAGGTGGGGGGAGGTGTGCCTGCCACCTAGCAAGCACTCAACACCAGCTATTTTTATCACTCTTGGGGCTCATCACTTGGCACTCAGTGTCAAGAATTTCCCAGTCTGACCAGCATGATGGCAGAGGCCTCTGATCACAGCACTTGGGCTGTGGAGACAGAAGGGTCGGGAATTCAAGGTCGTCCTTAGCTATGTAGTAAGTTGGAAGCCAGACTGGGCGACATGAGACTGTCTCAAGAAAAACCATAAAACCCAGTCGGTGCATCTAGCCAAACAAATGTCTCCATAAGAGGCGAGAAGGTGAACGTTCTGGCCACGCCCCCAGCTCCTTCTTCTGTCAGACTATGCAGCCATGAGACGGCTTGAAGCACAGAGGAAATCGGCCCCCTTTGCCAGTTTCTGGGCTGCCCTGATTCTGTCCTGAGGGCAGGTTCCTCAAACCACACCCAGCAAGGAAACAGAGCCTCTCCTGCCTCCTCCAAGGCTGGGACTACAGATGGGTCTGGCCTAGGACCAGAAGAACTGTGTTCTTGGAGCCCTGGTTCAGCTGCCAGCAACCATCTGGTCATTTCTCGTCCTGATTCAGTCTTCTCATTTTGGCATCATCTTTAAAGTTGGTGCCAGCTGTACAATCTCAAGAGTCTACAGCCAGAACCAAGCGACTGCGGCCCAGGATGCAGACACGGATCAGCTCTTACTTCCCAGGCAGCAAGGGCCGGGCTCCACCATCCTGCTCTGCTTTGCTCTATTTTCCTTCCCCAAGGCCCTCAAGTCATCCAGGCAAGCCTCAAAGTCACTATATATAAGACTGGCCTTATCCCCACCCCCATCCACCTCCGCTTCTCAAGTGCTGGGAATACAGATGTGAGTTACCATGCCTGGTTTATACCTGCTAATTTTTACCTACAGATTTCCAGATTTCCTCCCTGTGAAAAGGAATGTCTTCTTCTTCTTCTTCTTCTTCTTCTTCTTCTTCTTCTTCTTCTTCTTCTTCTTCTTCTTCTTCTTCTTCTTCTTCTTCTTCTTCTTCTTCCTCTTCCTCCTCCTCCTCCTCCTCCTCCTCCTCCTCTTCTTCTTCTTCTTCTTCTTCTTCTTCTTCTTCATGATAGTTTTTTGTACAAGTGTCATTTTAAAAAAAATTCTGCAGCCCTGTTGCAGGCCCACTTGGGACTTTTATTATCCCACTGTGCATTTCTCCATCTCTAGGATACATGCACTATTTTCTGAATGTATTCCACTGCCACTGCGCACCTCCCTCCTGAAGCACTGCACAGGCTGGTGCTCCACAGGACTCCTTGAGAGCCTGGGCTGCTAGCAACTTTCCCGTTTGTCAGTACCTGCACATCACAGTGGCTCATGCCTGTAATCCCGACCCTCGGAGAAAGCAAGGCAGGTGGATGTCTGTGAGTTCAAGGGCAGCATAGTGAGGACCTAGCTTTGTTTTTTTCTAAGATGGGGTCTCTCTCTGTTGTTCTGTCTATCCTGTAACTGCCTCCACCTCTCAAGGGCTGGGATTAAAGGCGTACTCCACCACGTCCAGCCAAAGGGAGTTAGATGTGTCACTAATGAGTGACTCCCACCGGAACAGTGAAGACCCGTCTACCATAAGGTCTCTTCTTCAACCCCGACAGAGGCGCACATGAACGGAAGCATAAGAGGTGAGTTCTGCCTTCCCAGCCGCGAAGAAGCCTCAGCTTCATATGCTGCCCTGGAAGAGCAGAAGCGGCTTAGAGCCTGAAGCGCACCTCTCCCTTGAGCAGCATCCCCCCTTCTGCTGGGTTCTAATCTCTTTCTACAGCTCTCACTTACGTGTGTGTTTATATCACAGCTGTCGACAAGCCCCTTTCCCTCCAATGGGACGGCCCCGTCGGAAGGAGACATGGCTGCATTACCGCCCTTACCTTGTGAATTTCTCGGTGCGTATGGACGGTGTTATTGCCGACCCTGGTGTCTGTGTTGGTCTCGTTGTGATAGTTGGCAGGTAAACGTGACAGGTTCGCCTCCGAGGACGTTCTCGCTGCTGCTTCTTCTGCCTCCATCTATCGATTGGATAAGTAAAATGGTTTCTTTCCGTTGTAACTGAGGGGCAAATAAAGGGCCACCTTCTCGTTCCCTCTTTTGTAGGTGCAGAGAATGGTGACAGTGACAGGCCCCTGAGGGGCCTTTAGACAAGAATTCCAAACATTTTACATGGCCTTCAAGTCTCACGACCTCAGAAGGTAAAAGAGCTTGCTGAGCAAGCCTAAAGACCTGAGTTTGATCCCTAGAGCCCATATTGGATGTGGTGACTCCAAACTGCAATCCCAGGATGCTACAAGGGTATGGGAGGCAGAGACAGGAGACTCAGCCGGGAGCCCACAAAGCAGCAGCAGGTGGAAGGAGAGAACTGATTTCTGAAAATGTGTTCTCTGATCTGCTACACATTTACCATGGCTCACACACGCATGCATACATGCTCTCCCCTCAGATGGTAGGTACCCTTTCCCCTTCTGGCTTTTAATCTGCGTTCTATTGATCTTATTTACATTTGTGGCTTTGCCTCACCCGTGTCAATGCTTTTTTTTTTTTTAATATCACAGCCTCCTAGGAGATGCATGCTAATATCCCTATTTTTCAAATAGGGAAACTGAGTCTCACAGTGTCGAGAAGAATTCCAAGATGCCAGTGTAGCCTGGAGTTGAAATTTGAGTATGTTACCTTGCCCAGGCCCTGTGCCCTAACCTAGGGGTCACTTGCATTAAATTCCGATACAGTGAGCCAGCACCTCGGTCTCTCTGGCTACAAAAATGTGCTCAACCTTTGGAATCCTCAAATGTTAATGTCTCCAGTGAGGGAGGGACAGGCTGGGGAAGAAGTACCCCAACTCTCTTTCTTGTAAGACAAGTCTGCTTGTGGGCTGCAGTGGGATTAAATCCCAAGTGGTCAAGCCAGGGTCCTTTTCAAGGACCTTCACTGTTTTTCCTCCTTCCTGCTTTGTTTTTAATTCTGCAAGAGTGAATCCATGTTGCAGGGTCTGGTGTATGTGGGGAGAAGAAAAATTCCCTTCCCCATCCCATCTCTTGGTAGCCCTCGGTGGACCTTCTGTGGGATCAATAGATGGGTTCCTGGACCTACACCCGTCCTAGCCTGCAGTGGACCTTCTTTGGGATCAGTAGATGGGTTCCTG